CTTCCTTTCTACAGTTGGCCATTTATAGTAAACACACTCTATAGCATGAGCTATTTCTTTGAATAATTACAAGTCTGGACAAGGTTTGGCCAATACTGGCTGTCTTGGCCCGGCCAGACCACAAAGTGGCATTTGTCTGCTCTGGTCATACTTGCCAATTGGCTTTCCCTATTTCTAGGCTCCTTAGAGTTGGAGAGCATGTCTTGTGAATTTCTTTGTTGCCTAGATTTTTACTGACTTTTTCCACATTGTATGTGCAGCTCTTAGTAGAAGAAGCTTGAACACTAGAGGAAAGGACTAGGTTCAAAACTAGGCTTTCCCATTTATCAGACAATAAGTGGGAGAGCCTTGTTTACATTTTCTGAGCATTATTTTTTCTGAACTGTTAAATTTTTATAAAAGACACCTTAAAACAAAACAAAATAAAATAAATTACATAAAGTACCATGTAAAGTGGCTGTAACTTGTATGTAGAATTTTAATAAAAGTTAGTTATTTTCTATGTGTTTTTGTTAAATACATGGGTAAGAGATATCCTGGATTGACTTATTATGTCCTGGATTTACTTATTCCTGTTTCCTTCATGATAATTAAAATTTTGAAGTGCTTTTAAAATAGTCTATTTGTTCTTTAAACAGATATTTATTGAAATGCCTAGTGCAGAATGATGAACAATTACTTATTTACAAAGCTACTAGAAGTAAGCTTCCAGAATTTGTGTCAAGGTCCAGGCTACAAATTTCCTTTATTTTTAGGAGCATTTACTTCACTAAGCATATTTTTTAACTTTCCCATTACTTAATATTTTCCTGTCATGATTTACTATTTAAAAAAAATAATCTAGACTTCCATCCTAACCAGAATCTCCTGATGTCCCTGTAAGGAATTGCTTAGTGAAGACTTAGATGCTGTCTTGAAAGAACCTAGAAGTGCCCCCAGGGCCTGCTATTTTTGAATGTTGATATGGCAATAAACTAACCAGGTAAAAGGAATAGCGACAGGTATTCTATTAAAATATAGTATTTTATATTTTAATGAGCAAACGGAGGCTCAGAAAGATTAAGTGACTAGCACAGAGGTCAATGAACTGAAAACTGGTAGCATTTATATTTGAATTTAGATCTGATCAATCCAAGGTTCAAAATCTACAATACTTGTTGGCTTCCATTTTCATATCATTGTTCTTTCCTTTGGTCTCCTTTAATCTGGAACCATACCTCAGCTATGTTGCCTTTTATGACTTTGCCTTTTGTTTTATGAGTACAGGCCAATTCGCTGTAGCACACCCCTCAGTTTGATCTTACCTAATATTTTGTCCAACGTCTCCTTTGTGATCACATTCAGGTTGAGCATTCTGGGCAGGGATCAGGTTGAGTGTACTGGGCAAGGATTCCGGTAGTGCACTCTGCACTGGGCAGAGATTTGAGTTGTGCATTTTGGGCAGGAATGCCATGGGAGCTGCTGGATCCTTCACAGAGCTTGCTGTCAGGAGGACTGGTGCTCACTTTGTCCTGATACTGAGATGTTTACATTCATCATTCATCACTTGGTAGCTGCTGCTTTCAGGTTTCTGTGCTGCTGCTGCACAGAAGGTGCTTTTCTCTCTTTGTGGCTAAAAACATCTCGTAGGGATGCACTTTACAACCATTTCAATATCCTGCTTCTCATCAAAAGCCTACCAGTTTTAGCACCCATTTTAGGATTCTTGTCCAAAACATTATGGCTGGAATAGTTGCCAAGTAGTTTCTCATTTTGTTTTTCCTGCTACATTTGTTCATTGGAATTCTACACCATTGATTTTCTAGTAATAGTCCAGAAAGACTCCTTTATATCTGGACTAATCTAAATCCATAGAAAGTGAAGATCTCCCTCTGTCTTCTTAATCCCAGAGCTCAGGTATTCAGCTAAGTGGCTTAAATCCATACTTAATACGGTGGAACTATGTGGAGCTATTGGAATTTGTTCCTAAAGCCATTTTCTATTTGAGGTGACAAAATTCCTAACTTCTGAGAGTCTTGTCTCCTCAGGTTTACCCCACACTTTGTCACATGAAGTCCTGGTCTCATTCTCCTTTTCTGGGCCTTCTCCCAACCCATACACACATACACATATGCACACACATGCACCCCCAGACACAGACACACCTTAGAACCTGCCTTCAAAAACTGGACAAGGGTTAAGCTGTCTTTGAAATATTAAATACTACTTAACTGAAAACCTCTTTCAGAGCATGACTGACAAATTAGCATCCTATAGGTGTGCTTACTCCTTTTTTCTTCTAGCTCAGCACTTTCAATAACCTTCTCTCCAGTCTTAAAAATCTAGATACTCAAGATGCATTTAATTCAATTCTCTCTTACACTGTCCAGTGTAAAATAAGTCAAATGGTTATTCACACTTAATTTCTCACTCTTGAAATGCCTTTTTAAAAACAGAACTTGAAAGAGACCTTTCCTTCACTGGGCTCCTAAAGTACAAAGTGCACTTAACACTTCTTCACGTCTCCCCTGGAAGATTTCTGACTTTCATGTCAATTGTCCCTCTTGCGAACACCATTCCTTTCCTGGGGCAGTCACTCTCCAGAGATCCTTAGATAATGCCAGAAACTTCTTATGTGCTTTTCAGGGGAGATAATTTTCACTTATACAGAAATACCAGTGGACAAGAGTGGCCAGCTTCCAAGAAAACCATTCCTCCTGGTTAATAGACTATGTAACTTTTAGTATTAAGAAATTGGAATTATTTTGCTTTATAATATTATACCTCTTAAACAGAATAGGACATTTATTAGGAACCATACTCTGGCAGGGCATGATCACACAATTCTGGGAGGAAAAACACTTAATACATATGTGACTAATTGGTCATAACGTTGAAGCTGGGACTAGAAGCGGCAGGACTGCTAAATAAAACAAACTTGTTTCCCAGGAACTGCTGAGTCTCTGCTTAGTACTGGAAGTCACATCTTTGGAGAAGATAACCCAATTTTGAATTTCTAACTCAAAATTGGATTACATTTAATCCCAATAATGCAGTTTTTCATGAGTACTCTTTCTTTCTGAGGAAATGCTGAGAAATGATACTTTCTTCTCCCCAAATGGCAGCATTTCCTTGCCTTGTCCTTGAATGGTCCAAGGAACAAAAATATCATAATCAACAGATTTTGGACACTGGGACAGGGAACCTATTTTGCATAGCAACTCACTAAACCAAAAGCCTTTGTAGAATTTTTGTTCTCCCTATATCCACTGATCTAGCATTGGGCCACAGAGTACATACCCAGAGAGCCAAACTGTGTTAAGTAATGCAGTATTTCCAAATATTGACTGATGAAGTAGACTCAACTCAACAGCCCTATAAACAATACCTTGGCTTATTATAGGCACCTTTGACCTGGATACTAGAATGCCTTGACATACCCCCATGCAAGTTCAGAGCATGATAATGGCTGGCAGATGAGAAAAGACGTGACCCAAAGGACAGAAGTGTTGAATATTTTCTTTGTAGCCCTTCCTCCTGTGATATAGTTTTATACTTTCAGTTACTGGAAAGATTACCCACATATGGTCTAGACAACAAAACACTGGATAGAACCTATCCCCATAAGCTGAGTTAGAAAGGACATTGGCAGTTTTTTAAAGGCTTATTTTAAGAAACTCTTGAGAAAATTCCTTTAGGCAAGGTGAGCAATTTGAACATCAATGAGAGTAATAAATACAATGGAATACCATATGTCATAAACTAAAACTCTAAATTTGTAATGATTTCAAAGCAATCAATCCAATAGTCATGTTTGGAGGTTGGAGCCCAGGGAATAACTCATTATTCTAAAAATTGGTACATAAAGGGAAAGAATCAAGCATTTCCCCTATCTTTTCTGTTCCTCTGTAACCAAACAGCTGATGAGAGAAAGTTCTTCATAGAAGACCACTAGGTAAAAATGAAGAAAGAATGATAAAAGAAAGAATAATAATGTTTTGTCACTGTAACAATAATGAATTTAAGCAATGGTGTCAATGACTATTAAACTTTTAGGTGACAGGTTGATGGGGTGGATCAACACTTGAGCCATCAATCTTAACATATCCAAAAGAAAGGCAACCAAATATTATTGTGCTTTGTGATGAAGTACAAAAGGACATATTAGATATAACTTATAAAATAATCACATTCAAAAACTGAAACTGACTCTTATTTAAACTTCTAGAGTTAACTACAGTATATGAGAAATATAGGGAGAGAGAAACAAATTTAAAATGTTCTAGAGATGCAGTCAGCAAAATCCAGAGTGTAAGAAACTCTTAAGACAAACAACCAAATTTCTTCAACAAATAAGTTACAAGAAAAGAAATTAAGGAAGGGAGCCCATAGATGAAAAGACAGCCATGAGAAGTACTACATGTGATGTGGATCTTGACTCAGACAAAGCAACTGTTAAAAAAAAAAAAAAGCATGTACAAGATAACTAGAGAAAATTGTACACTGATTGACATTTGATATTATTAAGTGGTTTATAATATTTACATTTAATAGTGGTTTATGGTTATATTTTAAGAGTTATCTTTTATCAGTATTTACTAAAGCATTTACAGATGAAATAATATGATGCCTGTGGTTCGATCCAAAATAATCTGTTGGATAGAAAAGTGAGGAGAATAACGCATGAAACAAGATGGGCCATGAATTGATAATTGAAACTGTCTGACATGTAAGTAGAGGTTTATTGTAAACTTTGTGTAATACAAGTACCTTAGGGCATGAGTCATCTCAAAATCAATGTGCTTTTTTTGCTATGAATACATCAGTTTTGAAATAGAATCCCCTAGGTTTGAAAAACAGGCTATGACATTTTTAACATTTCTCCACTTACATGGATATGTGCAATAATTTGAGCATGAATAGTGTAAGCTCTGAAAAGACATGTGTCTCTTCCAGGTAGAATGTGTGAATCCTTGTACACCCTGCAAGCTAGGGGCTACTTTTTTTCACTGTCTATCCAGGTCAGTGAAGGGCTGATATTATACCAGCATATGGATCTTGAGAACACAGGCTGGACTGCAGAAGATTCTTTCACATTCACAGTGTCCTCCCCACCAGCAGCTCTCAGCCCTGAGGAGTTCTATATTACCATTTCATATGAAATTCCTGAGCCTGGTCGGCAGAGCTATCTACTTGCAAATACAGGTAATGTCACCAAGATACGGTTAGTGCCTTATCTATATTAAAGTAGGGACAGTTTGGAAATAAATCTCTCCTATTTGTCAATGCCATGATATCAACCTTTGAAATAAAATGAATATGATTACAACCAATTGTTATGTCTCTGCCTGCCCTCCCTCTCTGAACCACTTCTCTTTCCTCTTACATACTTAGTGGTCATGTTGGGGAGAAAATAGAAACTTAGCTTTAAAGAATGGTATTTGTACCTCCAAATGGGGATTTCACCAATCCTTTGACTAAAAGCTTGATAGAAAATGAAAACGACAAATAAGGTAAGTTCTTGAAAGGAAAAGGGTATTGAAAGCTGCACCTGTTCCCATTGCGAGAGAAAGTCCAGTTGTAGCTAAGTTAAGAAATTAACATTTTATAAGAGACTCTAAAGGTCTTACAGCTCACTTGCCTGTAGTGTTACTAAATTGATGTGCATGTGTATGTGTGTGTTTATATTTAAAATTTGGTTTTTTTTTGTCATACGCTTTGAGTAACAATGCTAATTCAGGTACTTGAGCAATCTAAGTGTTTAGGATAATCTACTAAGAGAGGCAAACTTGAGGGAGAAAGCTTTACCATAGTCACCTGAAAGTTCTAATGAAATGCCCAACTCTTCATTTTATTTATGTCTTAATAGGAGTTGCTGTCAAGGAGGGAGACAAAGTTCTCATTGACCAGTCTAAGCTAGATGCTTCCAACCTCTTATTTCAGTTACCTGAACCTCAGCGTCCTTCTTATGAAATCTGGTTCCAGGTTACATCTCTTCCTCACTATGGAACCCTTATCATTGGAGAAAAAAATATTACCAAAGAAAAACCCCATTTCTCCCAGTATATAATCAATAAATTTGGAATCATATACCTTCATGATGACTCTGAATCACAGGCTGATAATTTTACTTTTGCTGTTTGGCCAAACCAAAAAAGTAAGTCTGTCACCAAACCAGAGGCTGACTTTCTTGAAGAGATGTTTAACATAACTGTCACTCCGTGAATGACCAGGCACCAGAGTTAAAGACAAAAAGGCTTCGGTTGGAAGTTCTGCAGGGGACTAGTTTAGTTGTAGGACCTGAAATACTGAAAGTGGAAGATCTAGACAGTCCCCCAAATGAAATCAGATACATGATCATCCGTGATCCTAATAATGGCTTTTTGGCAATGGATTACCATTCAGATACACCTGCTCACCACTTTACACAAGCCGACATTGATAACTCTCAGGTGTGGTTCATACAAGATGGAAGCCCACGCTCTGGAGTGTTCTACTTTAGTGTGACTGATGGTGAACACCGCCCACTCTACAAGCTCTTCCACGTGGATGTCATTCCCATCTCCATCACCCTCGTGAACCTCACACATCTGCTTCTCCCACAAGGCCAGACAACAATCCCTATCACCAATGCCCACCTATCAGCAATGACCAATGGAAAGAGCCCCCAGATCATCTACAGGTTGACACACCCCCTCCAACATGGTCACCTGCTGATGGAAAACCAGATGGTCACCAGCTTTGGACAGGAGGATTTAGATTCAGGAAGACTCTCTTATCATATGACAAATTTCACGGCCTCAGAGGACCAGCTACACTTCTCACTGTTTACATCAGAAAGCAACCTAACAGGACAGATTCTCTGCATCAGAGTGCGGCCGCTACTGAGGGTTATGTCAAACCTGAAAATTGCCAACAAAGTGCCTCATTGGCTGAGAAGACAGGACCTTGATGCAACTGAGCTTGCTAATATGACTAACAGTGATCCCACATTTGAAGTGACAGAGCCTCCTATCTATGGAAGACTTGTGCGAAGAGTGGTTCGCAGCACTGAGATAGAAGATGCTTCTTTATTCACCCAGAGGGACATTGACCAAGGGCTATTGGCACTGGATCCACATGCTAATCTAACAGGCCTGGATATGCTGAATGACTCCTTCACTTTTTTGCTCAGGGCAGACCATGTACAGCCAGCAATAGGTTATGTCCCCTTCACCATTGTGCCACCTGACCCCTTACTTTTGCAAATGTTTACACCAGATGTTCCTTTATTAGTCACTGGAGATAACCTTGTGACCTCTGTTTTCTCTCAGAAATGGCCTGTGGTTTCTTCAGGACCCATGACACAAACAGAAACTCTGGGGAAGCTGACCAAGACCAGATGGCAGGGAGCAGATCCCTGGGGACAGCACAGTGGCAAAGAGTCAACTGTGAACGGCAAGGTTTCCCCCACCCAGGTCATTTGGTCACCAGCTGACACCAAAGTCAGCCCTAGGGCACCCCTTCAGCCTAGAGAGAGCTACCCTCTGATGGTCATCATACCCATAGCTGTCGTGTTACTTGTGCTAATACTGATTGCAGTGGGCTTGTGTGTCTGGCTGCTGGGCCAGAAGGAAGAAAAGGCAAAACCCCTTATCAAGCCTCAGACCAACCTAGAACCCACAACCCCAAGTTTCAGACCAGAAAGGAGTGTAACCATTCCCACTGTCACAGTGACACCCCTTATACGAAGCTCCAGTAAACCCCCAGCCAGTCTTTTCAGAGTCCCACAATGTGAACAAATGGCCTATCCAGTGGTTGAACCAATGGAAAGATGTGCTCCTTGGGAGTCATGGGTGAACCTGGACCCTGACATGGTCAAACTCTGCCGACAAACCAACCCAACATTGAAGCGCAACCAATACTGGGTATAGCTGGAGGCCTCTTGTTTCTTATTGGCCTCTGACTGTGCATCAGGTACTAGAATAGGCACTGGGATATACAGACAAAGGAATGCTGGTTGAATCAAAGAAAGTCTGGTCCTGGTAGGCACTCAGTGCTCAGTCACAGCCCCATGGTTAGCTGTGGGGTGGGTGCTTATTGTAACTCATGTATAGCACTTGTGGACTTTCCACAATGGACTTTACAGACCCTCTTCTGGGCCTGACTTTCTCAGTATACATAAGCTTTTGTCAATATTTGAACCCTTTACCAGGGTGCTACTGAAGACGTTGGCCCCACTGAAAACAGCAGTATGAAGTTGAGACATGGAGTTAAAGGAGAAGGTTTTGGATATTTTCCATTGAGGATTCCCTCTGAGTGAGTCAGCAGGAAGTACAGGAACTATCTCAGCAGTTAAAGAGTAATTTATCACGTCAGTGAGTTTGTCTATGTAATGTTTTTCTGTAATGTCTTTTCCTCCTTGGAATCCATAGGCTTGGTTTCCTACGGCAGGAAATGCTTTGATGCTCCAAATAGTGGGACAGCCTGACCTCTTTCAGAGAAATTCTTTCAATACAATGTGTTTCATCAAGAAGCTTTGTCTATTCTGATTCTAAAATCAAGCTGAGCTTAGTAGAAATATTACTGAAAGCCTTAAGGGACAGAAAGGTTTGTTAAATGCTTTTGTGATGCCTCAGTTGGCCTTAACTTTACAATGAATTGAAATAATGACAAATTTGTATTTGGGTTGTCTAATTAAACCCACCATTGGCCAACTCAAGCATTAGTTTCTGTAAGTGTAAAATGAAGATATTAGTGCTTGAATTAAGCATGTGTGTTCTGCGAATCAGAAGATATCCACTACAAGCGGTTTAGGCTGGGGACTGGCAAATATTTTCTGTAAAGAGCAATAGTAAAGATTTTAGGCTTTGGGGCCACATATATAGTCACTGTCATTCACTCTTCTTGTTTTTTTTTTTTTTTTTTTTTTTTTAGCAACTTTTAAAAAAAATTTAGTGATACTGAGGTTTGAACTCAGGGCCTCACACTTGCTAGGCAGATGCTCATCACTTTGAGCCACTTCGTCAGATCTTTTTTTTATTTTTTACTTAGTTATTTTTCAGATAGGGTCTCACATTTTTGCCAAGGCTGGCCTCAGACTGCGACCTGTCTACCTATGCCTCTTGTATAACGGGGATCACAGGTCTTTGCCACCATGCCCAGCTTGTTTGTTGAGATGGAGGTTTTGAACCATGATCTTCCCAATCTCCAACCCCCAAGTAGCTGGGATTACAGGAGCAAGCCAATGCACCAACCCCCCTCTTTTACTTTGTAACCTTTGAAATATATAAAAATAATTTTTAGTTCTCAGATTTGGCCTACAGAACAAATGGCTATAGACCATAGTCTGACAGTTTAGGCAATAAAATTGTTAACTGAATTATTTCAATTAGCAGGCATTCTGGAGGTGGGCATTCCAAAGCTGGTTCAGCAGATCAAAGATCTCATTAAGGGCTGACGCTCCTATGTTCTCTTCGTCTTCCTCATGCCGTAAGTGTTTCATTCTTTGGTTCAATTCCTTGTGATTGCAAGATGGCTGCCAAAGCTCCAAACAGTACAACCACATTCAAGGCAGAAATCACAGTGGAGGAAACAAAGATGTGGCAAAATGTCTTTTTCTTACAGAGACTCTTGTTTTATTATTTTAATCTTATGAAGGGGTCCTCTCCAAACTTTTCCCCCCCTCTTATTGCACATTGTCTATAACTGGGCAACATGATTCTCATCCTTCCACCAACCAGGGAAAATGGAATTCTCATGACTGATAATCTCTACTGGGGCTGGGAGAGGAATCTACCACATCAGAGATCAATGGATCAGTCCACTGTGTAACTGGAGAAGGATGAAGGGATAGCAAATAGGCAGTGAACAGGGTCTATTAGAATATCCTTCATGTATTGAAATACTTAGAAACAAAGATTTTTGACTTTCCAAATTGATATCTACTTTAATATCTCATTTTCGTGTTTTAATGAATTTCTTGATGCCAGAGGCCAGTGTAACAGTACAGATGATGTAGGCTGAGATGGGGTGAGTGTGAGGGGAGATATACCTTGTTCCAAGATGTATGGCAATGGCTGGAGATGTTTTTTGCTTCCAAAACGGCGGGATGAGGACGCCTCTTGCATCCAGTGCACAGAGGCCAAGGAGGCTGACAAACACCTAACAATCACAGGACAGCCCTCGGCGACAGCGAATGACCCCATTCCAAATGTCAGTCTTGCTGATACTGAGAAACTCTGGCTTTCACCATATTGAAAAGTCTTCTTGTATAGCCAATGAAGGCTTAATAAACTCATTACTAAGTCTAGTCAAAATTCTGTTCTAAAAATAGAATGGAGGGATGAAAATTCCACAGTGCAGTTGAAACTTTGGCTAATGGTATGCATGAACATCTTTTAAAGAGAATGGATTAAAAACGAAACAGAACCTGACAGCAGTCTCATTTCTATGCATTCTTTGTTAGAGAAAAGATTTTTGCCCTGTGTTAACAAGGTAGAACACATCGGGAAAAAGTGAGACAAGATATTTACAAAGGTAAAGATGAAGTCACTGTGCCCCCCCCCAAATTTGATGTGTTTCTTTAGAAAATGCCTTTTTTTCATCCTCTCTCTTTTCTGCTTATCCAAGTGGCACTTCCCTCCCAAGCCAATTTTAACTGCTCTTGGTGACAGCAGATCTCAAAATCTCCAGATTAGGTGGCAGTTGTCTAGAGACAACATCTGTGTGTTAGAGCCTTGCCTGCCATTCCTGACATGGGCAGCTGATGTTGAAGAAAATTCTGCTCTTCTTTCAAAAGTGCTTCTCTCCTGTGTTTCTGGATTATAAATTGCCCCTTTCCAATATTCTTGTTTTAGAAAATAGGAAGAATGAGTCTTAACCCAAGGTTGGCTTGATCTGTGTGCAACTCAGAATTGTTCCAATCCCTCTTCTAACCCAGGCATTCTGAGGGAACAGAATGAGAGTCTGTGCTGGAGCATCTTTGCATCCAGTAAGTGGTTTTGCTCCCTCTTGACTGGGCAGTGCCTGTTCTTTGTGGAAAAGTCAGACATCCTTGGCCCAGTGCGCATGTTAACTTCTGTAAAATCTCTGAAGCTAGGATTACCAGCCTGGTCAAAAAAAAAAGTCTAATAATTTCCCCTTTTCTTTTTCCTGTTAATTTTTCAACCCCAAACAAATAAAATTGGTGTCCATATTAGGAGACAGATGTAGATACTTCAAAGTAATAATAATTCACATTCTTGTTTGCAACTGTGTCTTCTAGATCAAGAAGAGTGTGAGATCTAAATGTCAAACCTCATTGATCAATGAGTACAATTAGTACAATTAGTACAGAGTTTGCAAAGTTTTCTTCCAGAGGCTCTGGAATATTCTACTGATTTTGCAGATGGGTTCAATTAAAAGGAAACAATGTCTACCATTTGGTGCTGGCTTAAAGAAAGAATAAATAAAAAGCTTTGACAAAGCCTTGTTCAATGTTAAAAACTGAAGTTCTGGAAATTGAAAATCAGTATGAAATGGCTTTTCCCATAGGCAGCGATGTAACAATAGTTTCAATTCTTTGTCATAATGAATTCATCACTTCTTAATGAATGACTAGAAAATTAAAAAGTGTGCAGCAGAGGTTAATATCAGAAGAGCAGCTCATTTCTGCCTAAGGTAGTATTCTCTCTAGGGTGTCCTGAGAGTGGAGGGTCTTTTATTTTTTTTCCCACTTTTTACAAATATTTTTTCTTATCAGGAGGCCGTTGCAGATTCTAACACTATGGGTCCCTTCTCACACACCAGGACATGTTTCCTTATTGTTTTGCATTAATTTGGTGGGATTAGAGTGGCCCAGCATTCTCCTTTCCATCTGGCTTGTCACATTTCTCGGGCTAAAACGGACAGAGTTGATGGTAAGGGAGGTGATGGTGCATAACAGATGATAGTCTCTGAACGTGGGGATGGAACTGGGCTACCTATCTGCTCTATCCTGAAGAGGAATCATAATGATTGTGAGGGTCAGCCCTGCACAAGTCAAGGAGTGGGGTTGAAAGTGTGCACAGAGCCACTGTTTGATATGTTAAAGGATAGGTTTTATGATTAGGATGTTCTCTTGAGAACATTTCTGGGTGTTACATAAACACCTGGAAAAGGCTGCCTTCTCACAGAGATCCACCAACATTCATTAGACTCCTAATGTATATGAGATACTACTAGATACTCTTTCTGCTCCAAAGGTACGAGAAGCTGTCCTGCAAGAAGCTTTTTGGTAATTTTTCAAGAAACACACAGATGTGTCAGACAGAGAAGATATGAGAAAGAGGACAAAAAGAAATGGGGCTTAGGAGAAGATTTTGCGATTGCATTTGAAATGTTCAGGTGTGTGGTGCCCATCTGGTGGTGCACGAAAAAATAGGGCGCATTCTACCATTGTGGCATGTTCCCCAATATCCATATTTCTCCACCCAAGCTTGCACTGCCTGCCCCTCAGTATCCCCACTCACATTCCTGGCAGTCTTAGCAGCATGGTAGAATGGTTAAATAGTAGACTCTTAGTCTGTTTGGGATCCTGGGTCTCCACTTCCTAAAAATGTGTCTTTGAGCAGTTACTCAATTTCCACGGATTTTATTTTCCTCAGCCAAAAAACCCTGAGGATAATAATATTAGTGCCTACATCTTTGTGATTTGTTAGGATTGAGTGATGTAGTCACCAGATGTTAGTGACATTATGACAGCATTTGTACACTCTTCTCAATGCATCAGCCACTATACCAACTGTTACAAAAGATTTTCTTACTTGGGGTTCTAAACTACTTTCAAGGAACTAAGACATCAGTCATTGAGTAAACCACAGGCCTGTAGTCTACACAAAGCAGTATGTGACTGCTGGCAGAATTTCAGGTGGGTGATTTAGGGACAGCTGTATTAAAAAACAAATTTCCCAAATACCCAATCTACCTGCCATGCTGGGCATTTCCCTTGGTCCTCAGATGGAGACTTTATAAGAAAAAGCAGAATTCAAGCTCCTTGATGTTAGTGCCCCTTAGGAAGATGTGGTTGGGAGGTCATAGTGTGTGTGTGTGCCTGTGTATGTGTGTGTGTGAGTGTGAGTGAGTGAGAGTGTGTGAGAGCATGAGTGTGTGTTAGGGGATAAGTGAGGATGAGGGATAAATTTACGACTTAAGAGGGCAAAGTCACTTTCATGGGCATGCCACCAGTACAGCCATGCACAGCCTGTTCTCCGAAGGCCCTTGGGCTTGATTTCAGGTTTTGCTGTCACCTTCTTGAAATTCAACTAATTTTTTAACAATTTTCATTTTTCATCAGGCCCCACAAATGATGTAGCTGTTCTGAATTTAGTTGATAGTTGCATCAGATACCTTTTAAGCATTGCTCCAAATTCAACTTTGCTTCTTACTGTAGCTCTAGCTGTGGCTGCTAGTTGCAGCTGCAGGTGAGTGTGTAATGTGACTTGCTCTTCTTACCCTGGGGCAGCCTGTAAGTGGGGAGAATTAACCCCATGGAACAGCTCTGGCCCAGTGGAAAATGGAGACTATGGTCGGTGCTTCCTCCCGGCAGTCTTCATGTGAACTGTTCTACAAGGGA